AAAATATTGCTACAACTTGTAGCAACACCACCCTTTTACCTTTTGGACACGGCTCAAGTGTTTTCACGTTGCTCTGAAAAGGGCTGAATTAAAAAAATATGTTGCCTGTGAGGAGTATAGCTTAAAACAAAAAGAGAAAATACTGACACAAAAAAAAACAACCCAGGCTCATTGGAAATACATTCAAGAATATGCCTATGCACGCATTTCACTGCAGATTAAATGAATACCTGGAAACCGCAGTAATGCATTGATTATTCATTGAAAATATGCCACATAATCATAAGTTGCGTGAATAAAAGTTGTTTGCGTTTTACTTATTCTTTTAGGATAAGTGTAGTGAAATGAGGCAGTAAAACACCAATAACTTTTGTTCACACAAAAAAGTCACAACTCCCATAAAACCCATAACTACTTTATGAGATTCCTGAAAATTCACTCCATGACACCAAAGGATCTTGCAGACTAATTAACAAACTCGGGTCAATCAATAGAAGAATTGTTAAAAAAAAAATTTTTTAACAGGGCCTTATGTGTAACACTTAGCATGTTACAAGTTCTATGACAGAGTAGCTAGTCACTCAAATTGTATTATTATGCCACTTATTTATATAGTGCCATCAAAGTGACTAGTGCAGAGTCTTTTGAAACTGTTTCAGAAAGTCAAACCTCTCCATTGCAACCACAGAGCTTCTCAGGAAGAGTCTCAGAGAGATATGAAGATGTGAAGGTGCATGCTGGCACAAAAGTCCTCCAGCAATCACTTTCAGTTTTAGTCAGTACACCTCTCGACCTTAACAACACAGACAATGAGCAGGGAGTGGATAGCATGCTTGAAAAAACAGCTGAAGAAGAGTCCTTTTTATTCAAATGCAATTATTGGCTTTTTAATGGTGGGACTTGAGAAACTCGTGGAGATGGACTTTGCATGTCCTTGTGATCCAAAGATGAACCTGATGTTTTCTGCAGCGTATTTTGTGGTTCCTGCTCTGTTCTCCAGCGCACTCATGTTTTATATTCAAAGCCCACAGTGCAAAACAAAGTATCTGCTCTCCTCTGTAACCTGCATCATTCCAGCCGCTGTTTGGATCATGCTGCTGCTCTTTGATGGACAGTACTTTGCCTGTGCAAAAACCTCCTGGGAAGGATTGACGGTTCACACAGATATATCTGCTTCAACAACATGGTGTCAGCCTTTGACCAATTCTGACAACATCACGGAAAAGCAAATGGCATTTTTTGGCTTTCGAAATACTTCTCAGGTGAGTGAATCAATGGGATGATTTAATTCTGTTTGATGTGGATAAAGATGAGATTTATCAAATTAAATGTACCAAAGATTTTGTCATGGTATAACACACTTTTTCGCTTCAGATAGTGGCGCTGGTCATGCTGGGTCTGAGCTCTCTGCCCCTATTTATAATTGGATGTATGAGGTGTCGCCACCAAGCCTCAGGAACCAAAGAACCTGAAGCTGAACAAGTGGAAATGGAGGATCCTGGTCAAAGTTCATCAACCCATCGTGAAAGATCTTCATTAATGGAGGATGAATGCAGAGGTGCACCTGAACAGCAGTAAATATAGAAGCTTTAAACAGAAATCTCGCTAAGCACCACTTAATATTTGCAGACCTCATGTTTAAAATGTTACAAAAAAAGGGAGGGAACAAACAACATATTCTCATCCAGTTGTACCACAAAGTGCTTTTGTTTCTGAGACGTCTTGACATCATTGAGAGTAAGAAACCACATCCTGTCATTCAGTGCACTGCGTTAAGTAACATGATATATGCTCACGTTTGCTGACTGTTTGGTTTTTTTGCACCAAGCATTTGGCTTGGTGTACTTACTTTGAAGTTTGTAGAATAAAAAAATACACTTTGCAACTGCTTATTGTCACTTGTTGCTTTGCTTTAAGGTAAGTGAGAAGGTTACCAGGTGAAAATGAAGCAAGTGTACGTTGACCTACTGATTTTAGCTGCAGTTGGACATTTCCTTAAGGCAGGAGGCTGATCTTCAGGCAACAGCACCCCCACAATTAGACAAGCAAGGAGTCAGAATTACTCATAGTAGTAGAAACAGTTTAAAGGGGTCATATGATGCTTTTTTAAAGATCATTATTTTGTGTATTTGGTGTAACAGAATATGTTGACATGCTTTAATGTTCAAAAAACACATTATTTTTCAAATACTGTACATTATTGTAGGTCCTCTATGCCCCGCCTCTCTCAAACGCTTCGTTTTCTACAAAGCCCCCTCCTT